GTGTGTGTGTGTGTGTGTGTGTGTGTGTGTGTGTGTGTGAGAGAGAGAGAGAGAGAGAGAGAGAGAGAGAGAGAGAGAGAGAGAGAGAGAGAGAATCAGTTCAGGTTGTGCCCACAGCTATCTGGGAATTGCTGTGCTCAGCCATGCATGATGTCTCCACTCCATTCTCCTCTTCAGCAGAACTTGAGTCACCATTGCATCAATTCACCTTCTGAGTTCAGAATCAGGAAAAAAACACTCAGTGTGATGTGCGAATTCGTATTTGGGAATCCACCTTCACTGCTACATTATGCATTTAACAGGTAGCAGAAGATGGGTCATAGGCACTGATATCGCGCACAGCTGTGGGATAGCATGATCGATCGAAGGGTAATGGTGTGGAATGTTATACGTGGATAATTCACATGAACTTTATCCCAATGTGAGTCTTCCCTTTCCTACTCTTCTCTTTTCTATTATTTCCGCACTTCTACTATGTGGTGGGCAGCAGCTTCCATGGGCACGTGTGACCTGGATGGAAACCATGTGAGTTGAATGCTCAAGGGAAAGACCTCTGTAATGTCTGGCATGAGTGGTACGGTCCTTCTGTTGCCCCGCTATTTGCGCTTTTGGGCAAATCTGAATTCCAACCAGTTCAGAACTTGGGATCCTTAGGTGTTCCCTTATCTTGGATCTGCTGCCTGCAGACAGTCTGATTGTTCTCTTGTCTATCTTGCTCACACAAGCTGATGTCTTATGTGTGGATGCTGTTTGTGACTCCCTCAGGACACCAATTTCCGCCTCTATTTGACTAGCAAGCTCCCCAACCCACACTATGGGCCAGATGTTTCTGGAAAGACGATGATTATAAACAACAGTGTCACCAAGCCTGGACTCCAAGCTCAACTGCTCAATGTGACGGTAAGCATAACTGCATGGCGATCATCACTTCATTGAAGTTCATTCTTTAACCCTCTGCAAGACCTTGCAAATTGCACTGCAGAAAGCACAAAATGTGCTCGTAGGGAGAGGAGTGGATTCCGTATGGGTCTTAGTGCAGGTGATTTTGGAAAAGAAGAACCTGGTGTGTTTTTTCTGCCAAAAGCGGGCCAGAGCAGGCAAAAATGACCATGTACGTCGAGCCCCAAGCTATCTTGGTAGAGAGGAAGCTGAAACAAAGGATGGGGGCCAGCACTCAGATACTTCTTTTTTTTTTAAAATGGAAATTGTATTAATATCTGGAAACTGGCTCCTGCATCCCTTACATCATTTTCTCACTTGACGCCTCTCCCATTATGCCCAAGAGACCCTCAGACAGCGGCATTGATTGTTCCCAGAATGCGAAAGATTTACCATTCCTCCACCTCTGCTCTTCCCGTGTGACTGTTACCCCGCGGGTGTCTTCAGTGCCTACCTATGAGCTGCTCCTCTCAACCATACCCGGTTGCATGGTGTCTCAATCATAGAGCTATCGCAGATGGACGGTTGGAAGCGCCACTTACTAGGTGGTCTTTCCCTTTGTGCCAGCACTTACCCAAGTCTGACAGACATTGCTCATTTTTCCCTTCCGTCAATGCCTCATGATGTGTCCCTCTCCCTATCTCTTTTTCTGCAAACTGCATTCCCTGGTGGTCTCTAAGTTCTGCCAGTTCCTTCATCGCTCACCGTCTAGGTAATCCTGTTCTTCTTGTTCTCCTCTGTCCATGCTCCGGTGTAACGGCAGCCAGTTGCTGAACTCCAGAGATCATCCTCTTATCTGAGCCACGGGCTTGTGAATTGGCCATTCCTCTTCAAACTTCAAAGTCCTGTATGCTACCCCTTTTTAATGGGTCCCTCTCCTTTTCCATTTGCTCTGCAATGTTTCTCCAATCAACCTTTACTCCTGCTTCTATGATTTCCTTGGCTTTGCTCCATGACTCCTCTGTTGCTGTTTTCTGTTTTCCTATCATTTCCCTCCATCTTGCTCACAATATCACCCAAAGTACAACCATGCGTTCATTGAACGCGGGTTAGGCATTCAATCATTGGACGCTGTGATCGCACGAGCCATGAACGCGTGTTTACAGTGTGAACGGGTTTGCGCAGAGGTTGAAACGCCGCCGGGCTATGCGACACCCGCGGCCTAGGTCGCGGGCAATTCGGCCGCGGCAGCGGCCTGTTTTTTTAATATTTTTTTTTATACCCCTGAAAATACGTAATATATATATATATCATACTTGCGGCGCATTTGTGCGCTGCGCCATGCGCACATGGCTGGTGCGCGCGCTACTCATGCGACGTGCGCTGATGCGCGCGCACCTGCGGGTCATGCACTAGGGTGGTGCGCCAGATGCGCTGCCTTTTTTTTTTTTTTTTTTTT